TCTCAATTAGAACATGAACTAATGAATATTATTAATTTTATATACTCTACAAACTATAGGCTGTAAAGTATCAAGTGCAGTAGTAGGAAACTTGAGTTAAAGATATGAAAGCATTACTAGTATACTTCGTTTTCTTACTACAATTCTATGAATACAAATAGACTTGGAGAACCATTAGGATAGCCAAGGCTATGGAAGGTACTAACAGAGCATGCTTTGCTTAAACTAGTAAAATGAAGGCTAGGAGGGAGGAGTGTTGCTGTTTATAAACATTTGTGGGGTGTATAGACAGACCAGCTCTTTGAGTTCAGTGATATCAACACTGGTAGAAGAGAAATTGAGATAAACTAGCCATCAGAACATAATTGGAAAACTGGAAGGAGGCTTTTGACTTAGAGCTCTGAAGTTTTCTAGAAGTTAGCAGAGATATTAGAGCTAGATATCCTGCTGCCATTAGCATGGAGTCTCAAAATGTCTAGTCCAATGGGTATTGTCAGCTACTGCTAGTCTGAAAAGCTCTGCTTCTTTTAGAGAGTGAGAAGCAAAGCACATTTTTGTTTAAGATGACAAATCTCATGCAAAGTCTACCAAAGAACATACTTGTTCTCGTTCATGAAAGACTAGGAAAGCTTTCTGTGGCATGTGCTGTTAGTAAACACTGCTGTGCCATCAGGCCTTATTCTTCTGTACCTACCTTGTTGATCTTGAGTGGGAGATCTGGAGTCAAACAGCTGAAGGGCACCCTTGAGCAGTACACAAGGGTACTGATGGCAGTACCCTTGTGTACTACACAAGCAGTACACACTGATGGCAGCAGTGCAGCCTCTTTGGCTTGACTGCTCAGACTGACTCTGTGGATTCCCTGTGGCCAGATCTCTCTTGGATGATCCACCTTCCTGGCTGAGGAAACAAATGGGACTGACTAAGAAACCAGATGCCATTTTAAGAACTGCCTCAGCTTGTGAGCATTTGGGTTTCTGTTTCATTCATGGAGGAGGCTGAGTCCTGGCACAGCTAGCTGGAGACCTAGCCAGGCTCTCTGCCTACCACTGAGTCTCCTTTGAAACAAGGCTATTTGCAGGATGGGATAAATAATTACATCCTGTGTGGATGTTGCAGAGCTATGCAGTGGCAGCATAGAGATACATAGATACGCCTCCTATCAGGATGCCTGTGAGCCATTCCAGAACAACATTTCATTCTCATTTTAAATACTAACTACATGAAAATACAAAGTTGATACCACTTTTCTTTAAGAAAGGTGATTTACCTGTTGGGGAATTTATCTGGCTCCAGTCACAGCAGTGAAAATCTCTGATGCTGGGAGTGTGACTGACAGAGTCTTGTAAATGGTCAGACTGGGAAGTTCCCTTAAAATACTGCTTGGTAAAACTTCTTATAATATTTTTATTGAAAGTATATTAATATATATTCGCTTATCTAAAAAAAAGGGTTTTTTTTCATAATCTCAAATTCATTATCATGCAAAGATTTTATTGGGTACTGGAGAAAAGTGGTATTGGGTTTGTATTTGCGGTTGAAAAGTTATGTTGAAGCAATGATTCTCAACTCGTGATCAAACATCAAACAAATACAGAATGAACAACAAATACTTTATTTAATTGCTTTGATTAGATTGTACGAAAAAGAGGACTGTGAAATTTATATTCGACACATCAATGCTTTTGGGATTTTCTTCCTATGATCCTAAAGGAAAAGATTAGGTTTGAAGACAGTAGATGATGTTTAGTCATTAGGTGGAAATTGATCTTATGACTTAAGCTACTGAAATAGATTGTTACTTTGGCTTTTCATGAAACTTCTCAATAAATAGAAATTAGATTCTTTCTCATGTGTTGTGTGGATAAATCACTTTTTTAAACCTATAGAATTTTTTCCTACCTTAGAGGATAACATAATTGACTTCCAATTCAGGTTTATAAAGTTGTTTGCTGTTTTTAAATCTTTTTTTTTCTCCCAGTGGTTTGACTGACACACTAGGAAGATAAGAAAGAAATTCAATTTTAAGTAAATGGAGAGAAATCATATTTGCATGGAACATAACAAAACATATTTTTCATTATCTTTGTTCTGCAGCTGTAGTGCTCTCTGTTGCTCAAAAAGCACGCATTTAGTGAATGGGATGTTTCTGAAAAGAAAATGTATTTATGCTGAAATAATGGTATATGTATTCAAGTAGGAAAATCTATAAGTGATATTTAAGAGTCCTACATTTACCTTGCTTTTATAAAGCAGTGGCCACACAAGAGCATTTGCTTTTTAAATGATGTTTTGTTAAAGCCAGTATGATTCTATTGTTTCGCATTTTTGCAACTACATATTCTGTTTTTGTACTGATTGATATGTAATAGAGTTGTCTTTGCCTAAGTCAGGGACTTGGAACTAGAGGATCTTTAAGGTCCCTTCCAACCCAGGCCTTTCTATGATTCTATGATACATAGTTTCTCCTTTCTATCTCACCTTTCCTGTCGTTCAGTGCTGACCAGCAAGGAAGCCCTGAGGCTGGAAGAGAGTTGTCTGTGACATACTTTCGTCGCTGATCTGGTTCGCAGTGTTGTTGAGATTTTTGCGTGGCTAACCTAGTATAGATAGGTTTTGCTTGTCTTCATCTATTACAGTCAGTACCATCTCGCTATAACTGGATTTGCCGTACGGATTTTTGCCGCTCCCTGTCTCCAGAAGTGAAAATTCCGGTCGCTTGGCGTGCGAGGAGTTGCGCTGCTTTGCTCGTCGTTGGCCACCAGGGGTCACTGTTGGCCGCGACATCTCTGTGCGGGGTCGCGACAACAACAGGCGCAAACGCGGCTTCACTTTCTGACTGGGGGCACCGTTGTCATCATTTTTAAGCTCTTCCCCGATCAAAGAATACTTAATCAGTTGTTTATTTTAAAGCTCTTTTAGATTCAAATTAAGTGTTTTCTCCAGTGGTTTACCAAATCGCAATTTTGCTGAGGTTACAGCTCTATTACAGTATTAATTATTAATGCTTAAGAAATAATATACTGAATTGTTCATACTCTCATTAGACCTCATTCAAATGCCATTAATCTTTTCTGAGTAGAAGGTATAATGAACTGTGGGAATTGAGTGTCTCCATCATTTAGTGAGTGGAAGGTAATTTGGAGACAAGTGGACATCATTCTTCTCAGTGAACTAGGAAAAGCTGACAGCTGGTTAGGTACAGATTGGATGCCTGGTTTTTGTGTATAAGAAGTAACTGTAACATGTTGCCCCAAAAATTATAATAAACATTGGAAAATGTAATCTCCCTTTACTTCCACCCCCTCCAAGATAATATGTTTTAGAAATATGAACTTGATGTACATTACTTATTTAACTTGTTTAGTAAACTTCAGCAGCTCTCTCTTCTAAATGTGTGTCTAGTCTCTCCTTGACACAGTGTAAATCTTTGCATTCAGAGCATCTTTTGCCAGGGGAGCATCCTTGCCAAGGAAATCTGATACTTTTTGCATGAAGAACTGTCTCCTCTTCCTTTGTTTTGAACATGGTTTCTTCAAGCTGCATTTGATGAATCCTGGTTCTTTATATTCAGAGAGACTATGGACTCTTCATATCCACTCTCCTTTTGTCACTTATTTTCTTTTTTCTCCAAGTGAAAAAGTCAGTAGTTCGAAGGAATGTGATGACTTCTGTAATTGGAACATCCTTGTTACTCTGCTGTAAACAGTCTCCAGCTCCAATCTCTCTTTCAGTAGGACACACAGTTTTTTGAGGGTACACAAACCCTAGATTTATGCAGTAAGGTAACAGTGTTCTCTATTTCGACACGACTTATTATTTTGACCCTTGCTGAGTGGTGATGTAATACTTTCATGAAATATCCTAAGATGATCCTGAAATGTAGCTTACTTAGTTTTCAATTTAACTATGTAGAATTGTTCTGTGGTTCTTCAGATCTTCAGGCAGATCTGATTCTCTGTGCCCTCCAGTAATTGCCTTTAGCAGCAATTTTTGTTCATTGTTCATCCTCTTTCAGGATCATAAATGTTGTACAACACTAGTATGCCATCACTGATGGCAAAACTCTCATTTCCATGATTGATAATGCATAAAGTGGAGCACACTGGTGTCCTAAAATTCAGTGTTCCCCATCTAGAAATAAAACCAGTCAAGACAAGAGAGAAATAGTGCATGTGTTGGCCTTATTTTTTTCTTTTGGTAGCAAAATTCTGTATATATTCAGGTTTTAAATAACAAGATCTAGAGCATAAACTAATGATAAAAGGATGAGAACAAATTAAAAAAAAACTTTACTCTTCATTATTTTAATTGTCCTATAACTAAAAACCTATGCATTTTTCTGGCTTTTCCTTATTTAACAAAAAATGATTGGTTGAAATATATTTGAAAATAACATATAGCTATGTGTTTGGTGGCTTTGTAGGATGATCTATAAAATGTTATAAAATCTAAATATTCAAATACTTCTTTTGATAAAGTGCTTTATAGTGTGTTTTCCACTTGAGAAACAAGGCAGAATGGCATTGGCAAAGGGCAAATTTTTACTTCTGAGATTTTATACAATGTATATTGTAACTTAATTTATTATGTTATTTGCTTTGATATAAGCTTAGTCTGGTTCAAATACAGTATAGTTTTTCTCCAGAGGTAACATACAGTGCATATTGTGCTACAAGTTTTAGACCTCAGTGATAAGTCATCTAAAAATGTGATGTATTGCGCCTTTCTTTCCATTTTTGACTCATACAATCTGTTTTCTTAGAAGGGCACAGAAATGGATTGTTATTATTTGAGCTAATCTAATGCTTTCAAACTGACTGACATCCCATGTTGTCAATTTATTCCTTGAGCATCTGTTAAACATAAAAGTCTATACCATATTTTATCAGAATGAGCAATCCTGACATCTGTAATTAAGCCTCCCCTGTTTCTGCTTTGTTGCCTTTAACGTTCCTGTCGAACAGATTGTACAAATTGCGCATTTGTTTACAAAACAGGTCCAGATTGTTCTCTGAACGTCCCTTCCACGGAGTCTTACTGGATTCTCCCAAACGTGAAGCCATTCAGCCCTTCCGTGGGCCGCGCTTCCCACAAGGCCGTCCTACACGGGAAGTTTATGTGGGTGATCGGTGGATACACTTTTAACTACAGTTCCTTCCAAATGGTGTTGAAGTAAGTGATTTCTCCTTTGTAACATCCTTTCTGATGTGGCTCAGGGAAAACAGATCTTACCAGGGAGACAGCTTCTATCTTGTAATTTAATGGAAAGATTTATATGGTTTTAGATTCTTTTTTAATGGTCTTATTTTCTGCTTGTAGTTTTCGTATGATTACGGAAAATGAAAGTATGGGCAACATCAAACTGTATGTGATACTAATGTGTAATTTCTTCAGTTTTGTGAAAAACTGCCAAACATATAAATGTTTGTGGTGGTAGAACAGTGAGAGAAATCCACGTGCTGATGTTTTCAAACAGTACATCTCAAATGTTATCTGCGTTATTCAAGTTAATTTATGATTATAGGAGACTTGTATTTAGTGCATGTACTTAATCAGTTGATGACATGCTAGTCAGGTTAGGCAGGTCAACTGTATTTCACTTCTTTATATGTACGATAGTTTGTATGTATGTGTATCTGACCCCCTTTTGAAAATAAAGTTGAAGCAGCTGTAAATATTGTGTAGCTGATTTTCATATTGTGTAACTTGTATACATGTAGAGGCTGTAAATGGGGTAAATACAAGTGTTAGGATATGCTCATTGGTATGTTTACTTCTGGTTTTGTCTACCTCTTATTTTCTTCCATACATTTGCAATCATCCAAAACAAATCCCAACTTCTGTGGTGTTTTTCTTTTCTAATTCTGTCATTTATTTTTTTACCTCTCTTCCATCTTGTTGTGTGTTAGTGCATTAAGGGATTAATTTTAATTGTTAATTAAAATGTAATGGAAATTAACCATATAGCTAAGAGGATGCTCAGCAGTAAATCTTCAAAGCAGTGTGAAAATACATGGCATGAGCAGTTTAGTGGGGTGTGTTTTTTATGCATCTGATATCAGTGGGCTTAGCAGCCCAGTGTCATAGCTTTCTTATAAATCTGGTGATTTTTATTATACTCCCATTTTCTGAGACTGTTGATGGGTCCCTTAAAGAGCTACTTCTGTTTTGCTTGATGAACACGTGGTACAATATCACAAGTTAGTGCACTGTTAAAAGTGATCATGTAACTGCTGCAAACAAACTACCATGTCAGAGACACAGTGACTGATCAAGTCTGCCAAACAGAAGTTAGTCTGAACATACAAACCCCTCTATTTCTCTGCAGGTGCAAAATGTTTACTCTTCTATTTCTCTTCTAGCTACAATTTGGAAAGCAGTATATGGAATGTAGTACCTGTATCCAAAGGGCCACTGCAGAGATATGGGCACACTCTTGCTTTGTATCAGGTATGGACTCTTCAGCATTCTATATAATGAATTTCTTTGTGTGTGCTGTCAGTGATCTTAAAATGACTCCCTGTGAATTTTTGGGGATAATTTAATTTCTAGTCCATAAATATTTTGTGTTAGTGTCTTCTTCAGTACTTAAATGTATTGCACTTTTTTTGTACAGAGGTTATGCAATAGATCTAAGTCACTTGTTTGACCACGATCCTCAGAGCTAAACTGCCAATAAAAAGCAGGTGTGTGTGTGATATAATTGGAATTGTGGGCAATGCTCTTGCTGACCAGGCACCATCCCCAGGGTCTGAGCCAAGTGCTGGTAACAGGGTCCTTTGGCAGCCCCAAGATGTATCAAGGGATGACCCGGGTCCGGGAACTCTTCAGTCAGGAGCACAAGGAGACAGGACTGGAGAGAAGGCTACAACATATGCCTGAGGTATCCATCAAGGATACAAGCTACAGATGATGACAAACTTGTTAACTGTGACAGAGAACTACAGAACTTGTATCACAAACTTTCATTTGTTTGCATAAGACACCTCCAGCAGGGAAGGACAAAAAGGATTGTGTCAGGTCAGACCAGAGTGTTCATCTCGCCTGGTAACGTGTCTTGAACAATGGGTAACAGCAAATGCCTAGGGAAGAATATAAGGAAAAATGACAGGAACGTATACAAGCTTCCTCAGAATACTGTCCTATTTTGCAGCTGGGATTTCCTAAAATAAGATTGTATTTTAGTGAAAAAAATATGAATAAGTTTATTTTTTTCCAAATGTTTGGACCATATATTTATTTTAGCATTGATATCATCCAGTGCCTAAGAATTCCAGTGTATTTTTTCAAGAAATACCACCTTTTGAGTACTGATACTAGATGGTTTAATTTTGATAATCTCCACTTTTTAATCTCCATTTTATTTTCTCTGTACTACTCATGATTTTCTGTAAGTTCACCACATCCTCTATCATTTCTTTTTCAAACTGATAATTTCTTGTATTTTTAATAATCGTCTATAGGGAAGATATTTCATACCTTGGATAACATTGTGTCATTGCCTCTACCTCTTCTAATTCTGTTATATCCCTTCTGAGATAGGGGAAATCACAGTCTTTAATGAATTCTTACCTTGACATCAATGAATTAGTTAATTTGTTCTATTAATTCTTTAGGGTATTTTAGCTTTTTGAAAATCTACTGTTGGCTTTAAACTGGTATTTTCAGAGAACTGTCAGTTATAACCTCAAGATCTAATTCTAGTCAATTCAAAACCCATCCCTGACCCATCCCCTGTAAAGACTTAAAATTGTTTTTTTCACATATGCATATTTTCATGCTTATGTACATGAACATTAATTTACCCTTTTTTTTGTTCTTGTATTGCACATTCAGTATTAGGAGATTCTTCTGCAATTCCTTGCTTTTGACCATTGCCTCAGCTATTTTGAGTAACACAGTGTTGTCAAAAAGCATTGCCATTTTTCCTCTCATACCTCTGCCAACTTGTTTTTCAGTATATTGAACAAATAAATCCCAATTGTAGATCTCTGTGGAACACCACTAATGACCTTTATTCATTTAAGAAGTAACTACTTTTTCCCTCCCAAACTTTATTGACTTATTTAACCTGGTGTTTTCTGCCTTGCTTGTCCCAGGGCATCTTACTTTCTTTAGGGCATGAGGAATGTTATGAAGCATCCACTGGAAATTTTAGATAAATGTGTCAAGTGGACCTTTGATTCCTTCAGGAAAAACCAATGATTTGCAAGATATAGCTTCCCTTTTCAGAAGTTCATAGCATTTTCCTCAATTGCTTGCTTTATTCACTGAATTCTGGCCTTTCTGCCTCTTCCTGATCAGTCTTCTGGTATGGACCCATTTTTAAGCAGGAATTTACATGCTACAGACAGGGGTCAGCTGTTTCGTTCTTAAATTCCTTCAGAACTAATCCTGGTGACTTTTTTGCCGTTTTTTTCCCCCACTACTTTAACCTTGTGTTTTTGATTTTTGCTACAGAAATACCTGTGAAGTCTGCCATGAAGGACTCACGTGGAAAAGTTAACCTCACTTTATTGCTATGGCTTTATCTTCTCAGAATACTCCTTCAGACTGTCTGTTGGCACCACAAAGTATCTAGTTGGCTGTATTGCTAATGCATTTGAAAAATGATATATTAGTACTTTAGATATAAATTTTGCAGGTAACTCATTAAGCTGTTTCATGCCTTGCCTTTATATGTGTCTTAGTCTGCTGGAGTTTTGAACCTTTATTTTGAAAAGTCTTTATTTCTTCTAAGTCTCCATTATCCTTCTGCTAATTTGAGCTTTATTTTGTTATATGTAATGGGAAATTCTGTGGGTTTTTCTTTAAATAGGAAGCATTCATGTGATCTGAGCAGATGTCCTTGAAATGTCTTCATATTGTCATTAAAGATTTTACCCTTTTAGTTGTACATTTTAGTTTCTTTTTATGTTTGGGTCTTCCTTTTGTATAGTGCTTTCTGTGAAGTCAAGCAGAATAGAAGGCGTGGGTGGATATTTTGTTTTGTTTTCCTGGCATCTGTTGTTCTTCCAGAGATGTTGAATCTGTACATGGCATGTTTAATATTGTAGAGGTGTTTTCAGTAGCAATATGAACTAGATTTTGTGGATGCCTCAACATCAACTCAAAAATTGCTTTCCTTCTCATCCGTTCCCTGATTCATTACTAATGCATTATCTATTCTTTGAAAGCTCAAATCTTTCTGACTGGTGTCTTTGGTTACCTACACTTCTTGTAGAATGTGGACCTTTTAGTTGGGAAACATGCGAGTAATGTATCATTTAGCAGATCAGAAGAAAGGCTTAAAATATCATTTCACCTTTTTATTTGACAGTGCTAATATTTTCTTGAGACATTCCAGACTAAAGGGTAACTATTCTAGAAATACTTTTACCAGAAAATATTAAATATAATAGACCTGTGTTAATTGAGAAATCTCTTTGGATCTCGGTGAGGAAATGCAACTCTTGTCAATAATAATGAAAGCTACAAGCAAGTGTGTAGCGAAGATGATGTTGCTTGTTGTTGAAGACAACATGTTAATTAGCAATCAGTATTTACTGATAAAGAACATATGTGAAATAATTAACTAATATGCTGATTTTAGTGATTATGTCAAATATCAAAGATTACATCGGCCAAAAGAAGCTGACCATGCAAGTAGAAGAAATATATCCTCCTGCAATAAGTTCTTAAATTAGCTTACTAGGATAAACTTTTGATGTTTTTCCTTTTAGATCTTCAGTCTCTTGAAAAAACAGAAAAATAGTTTACAATGAAGAGTAGTAGAACATAATACCTAAAGATGGCAGCTTTGAGCTGTGTTTTGAGCTGCATATTAGTAATTGTGTAATGTTTCCTTTATGGTTGAGAGAAAAAAATATCCACAGAAAAGAAATTAGATTAAGTTTTTGACTTGAGCTCCTGAGATTTCAAAGCCTAGTGCTAGACTGGAGTGAGAGTGCAGAGCTAGCATTGCCTGATTGTGGTGCAAGGTAAAAACTGAAACCATGTGATTGACTCTGTGGAGAATGAAATAAGTTACTGTGCCTATTTCTCTCAGAAAGCTTCTTTAGTTAAAATTGAAGTACCCTTCTTCTTTATTCTGAAGAAAAAAGATCAGAAGACTTCCACTGATGTATAGTTATTAATAAGTGACTAAGGCTTTTTATGCATTTGTAGAGGAGAAAGTATAAAAGTGCTCTTGCTTTGAGACCAACTAAACTCTTAGTATTACCTTCGGTGCCTCTTTAGTCTGGTTATTGGAAAGGTGCTATTTATTTGTTAGCAATTGGTTCTACTGTATCTCAGAAATTGTATATAGGTCCAGGCATCTTGGTACTGAAAATATCAACATACTTCAAAATAATTTATGTAAGAAATAGGATTGTAAAGATACTGAAGGAAATGTGAGGTTTTTAAAGTAGGCACATACAGCTTTGCTAAACAGTGACTAGGTAGGGAGTTAGAGAGTAAATTGCAAAATCACTGGAATCGAATAGAAAGGGAGTTCCCTACAAGGTGTGTATATGGTCACTGCTGGGAATTTACTCAGTAGTGAGTTTGTGGTTTTATCACAGAAGTTGGTCTCATAATTAAACTTTTCCTAATAGTCCCAAGACAATGGAAGGATAACTGGGCACTGAGATTTTTTTCCTTTGAGACCGGCGATAGAAATGAAGCAGACAGGCTGATGCAGTAGTAATAATAAATATATTTCACAGTATACAAGCCATTTTATATGTAGCTGAATTAAATTAAACTCATTGGAGTTTATGAATGGTACTTCCACTTTTAAAACTTTCTTTAAAAAGAGTATTATTTTGATTCCTTTTCCAAATAATTGGTATTGATGTTGAGTCTACGTATCTTGTGATATTTTTTATTAGTCTTATCAAAAGCTAGCATTAACAAAGCAAAAAAGAGCAAAAACTTTTCCTCCTTTAATATGAGTGAGATAAAATCTTTCACCAATTGTTTTATTGTTATTCTTTTAATGCCTATTTTTGTTGGCTATTGTAGTATAATTTGAGCAGCACTAGGAATTAAAAAGTATTTTCTGCCTGTTTTATTAGTAGGTATTTGTACCACTGATTTACCTAGTTTTATTGTTTCAATACTTTTAATTACATCTTATGCACAACTTGCTTTCTAGTTCTGATTTGCAGAGCTCAAAAGTATGAGAAATAGGTAAGATGAGCTGTCATACACTTTTGCATGTAGTCTGGACAAAAGCCTATTCAGTGTTCCCTTCGATTAACCAGACCTAATTCATCAAGTGATTGGTTCTTTATGTAGAAGTGCAATATTTTTCGTTTGTTGTTTCAAGATTTTATTCCAATTAGTTTGAAAGTGAAATCCAAGTATTGTCAGCTTAATTAATACCTTTAAATATATCCAGCAACCATGTGGAAAACTGCAAATAATGAAGACATAATGTGGCAGCGTTCTCGATTAAGCTAACG